TGTTACACTCAACTACATGCAATATTTATATATTATTTTTTCAATTCTGGTTTGAAAGTTTTAATATGAAAGAAATATGAAACAATAAAATTTAAACTTAAGCTAAAAGATAATTTTGACATAAAAGTTTTCTGACAAAAAATACTAGATTTTGAAGTGACCCTATGTTACATTATTGTGTTGCACTCCTGACATCTGATATCTAATTTTATTTAACATTGTTTTGAAAATTATAACACAAAATAACCCATTCTTAGTTTGTAAATCAGTTCGTCGTTTTTATATTTTTTATCATTTACGGCAAGTTTTTCATATTTTCAATACTTCAAAACATGTTTTTTTTCCAATGTGTAATATATATACACTGTATTTAAAAATAAGTGTTAAGTGATGAAAATTATTCTCTGAATTGACTGTAAATGTCTGTAATTAGTTGATAGACGTAATGTTTTGAACATCAAATAGTATCAAACATTTTTTTCAATTTATTATTTAGTAAAGATAGATGGAGATCATTGATAATTATAGAACGGTAGCGTTGCCCTCCTGACTGCAGTAAAATTAAAAATCAAAACCACAGAACACAAAAATTCACAAAGTTGGCAAGATCACGTGGTAACGAAATTGTGCAATATTTATAGTCCAATGAAATATATGGAGATAACGAACAGTATTCAAGCTCAAAAGTCCATTAAACAATACAAAATAGGAGCAGAGCAAACACGGACCTCCAAACATCAGAGGTGGGATCAGGTGCCATGGATTGATTGATTGATTGTATGTTGTTTTACGTCCCATTCGAGAATTTTTCACTCATATAGAGACGTCACCATATACCAGTGAAGGGCTTCAAATTTTGACCTTTACTCGGCACTCAGGGCCATTAAGCAGTGAGGGATCTTTATCGTGCCAACGCCTGCCGTGACACGGGGCCTCGGTTTTTAAGGTCTCATCCGAAGGACCCGCAACTTTCACTTCAAAGTGCCGAGCGCATGGCGAAGGAACAGTTGCTACCCATTTTTTATCGACTTAGGTCAGTCGCGGCCGAGATTCGAACTCACGACCTCCCGATCACGAAGCGAGCGCTCTACCGACTGAGCTACCGTGAACGGTCAGGTGCCATGGAGGAGTAGCCAATACTTCCTAATGAAAACACATGAAGGTATTTAAACTTGGCTTTATATCTGGAATTATTCCCTATTTATGTCAAAAAACTAGCTAAAATATATATTTAGAAGATAAAATTTATTTTATAGTATATTTTCCTTCACAGAACAAACGCTATAAGCAACTGAGGTCAACCAGAAACATTCTACTCATCATTTTTTTTCTTTATATTTATTCATATTTGATCAGTAATAATTCTAACATATTTGTTGCACTCCTGACCAAGAACATAGGAGTCTTTAAAGCAGAATTGTGAAGCAAAAATTATATCAGAACTTGTTCTGTTGTTTCAGTGAAGTTGAGGTGGAATTTTTTTAACTTTATAACAATTTTTCAGTGTGTTTTTTTTTTCACATCTTAAAAAAAATCAAAGAAAAGATAAAAACACATCCGAATTGATAAAATTGAAAAAAAAAAAAAAAAAAAAAAAAAAGGATTTTTAAATAAAACTGTCAATTATTTAGTACTAAATTATTCAAATAGATCATTATTAATTAAAGAATATTTCTTAGCATGAGTAGAAGTCTTTTCATCATATAACTTGAATCTTTAAAAAAAAATATGTTGCACTCCTGACGATATAAATATAGATGTGAAACAAAGACAGACCCAGTAATTAATAAATCTATTTGGTAAAAATGTTCTGTGTCTTTATTTTCCAAAATAAAAACCAGAGAATAATACACTGATAAAAGTTTTTTTCATGCTTGGGAACAAAATATTAAATGTTGCACTCCTGACATTATTGGGCATGCACAGATACTTGACTCTCATTAATCCTGCTTGTGATTTATATAACATTTTTAAGTTTTAAATTGTATATCAGTTATTGTTTTACACTTTGAAAATTCTTTTTTGACTTAAAGAGGGATTCTTCTCATATTTCTTGTATTTAAAAATTGATGAAATTTTCATAGAATCAAGAAGACATAATCACTAAGTGATGGTATCAGTAAAATTAAATTTGACCGTTTTATTTTAGAACCAAGGTCAGGTCAAGGTCATTTCTTTTTCCTTCACTTTAACAATAAAGAAAATACCGTTTCCAATCATGCGATGCCTACTTCTATTTCTAAAGTGAAAATCTTTTTCTTTTTGCGTAAAAAGATACTACCATATAGGGTCTTTCAGATGATACTACCAAATCGACATGCATAATTAAACTAAAATAGATATTTGCTAATCCGAATTTCCTCAATTTTTCTTAAATTTTTAGGATATTTTAGTCATTTTTATATGCTTCGTATATTTAAATTTTTCTTATTTTTACATATGATAAAGCAGTCATACAAAGATACAAATTGATACAAAAAAAAGTTTTGACGGTTTACTAAGGGAGAAAATCACATTTTACAGATTTTTTGCTCAAATCTTTACTTAGATTGAAAGCTTTTAAAAGCTAATAAAATTGTAGTTTGTTTGTAAATTCATATTTATTTGATATATTTTAAAACTTAAGTCCATTATTATTAATTTTACTTACATTTGAATTTTTTTTATGTCTTTGATTGTTTGAAAATTTTAATTAAATTCATTGTTCTATAGTAATTTTGAGAAGCAGAAAAGGAGATTTTTTCATACGCCGTTATTCCGCCAAAAATATAGTCCCTGCTAGATTTCAAACTCAGTTTACCATTTCTATTTAAAAAATAAAAAAATAGAAAAATATGATTTTTTAAATCACTTACATGTAAATATATATAAGCAAATGTACTTCGAATATTTCATTTAGTCAGAAACCCGACAAGAATCCCTCATGAATTGTCTTTTTAGATTTTTAAAATCAATGGTTTTTTTGTGCCAACACTACATTTTTGTTGCACCCCTGACATTGTATAACATATTTTTCAACATCAGCCATGACCAAAACTTGGTCAAACAAAAGTTGCTGCAGTCTACTTTAAAAGCTCAATACTTTGAATATTATCAGGAAAGTATTTATTTCCACCATAAATCATTATTATTTATTTCACAGATCTTCAAAAAATATTGAATTTTCAAAATGTCACAAAAAGGAGTTGCACTCCTGACATTTTAGCATCATTTTTGGGCATAACTTTTAAGTGAATTGAGATATCAATGAGATATTTGGCAGGTATTTAGACACTATCTAAAGACATATGCTGAGACATAGAAATTTATTCCCATTGCCTGTACTTTTAGTACAGATTGAAAAATATGGGTTTTGTCTTTTTTTTTTAATTCACCCTACAATCAAAGTTTAAAATTAGTTCTTCCATCGCAAATATTAAAAAAAAAAACAAGAGAAGTTTATAAACATTCTTTTTCTGTCATTGAACAAGTTAATTACAATATTGCAACAAAAATTTCCGACATCAAAGTTGCAGCTCATATTGCTTTAAACATATAAAGAAACATTTTTAAAAAGTTTCTTCTCAAGAACAGCAAAGCCATAATTAATCATACTTATATAGAACCAATCCTAGGTAGTGTAGATTCAAATTTGTTCAAATAATGACCCTTACGGGTAGAGCGGGGCCACTATAGGAGAAAATCTTCCTCTGGAAAACAGCTGATTGATTGATTATATTAATATAAAAGCATCCTCAGGTAGTGTATATTCAAGATTGTTCAAATCATGACCCCCGGAGGTAGGGCGGGGGCCACAACAGGTGATCAAAGTTACACATGGAATATATATGAAAAATCTTCTCAAGAACAACAAGTCATTATTAGTCATAATGATACAGAAACATCTTCAGATAGTGTACATTCAAGATTGTTCAAATCATGCCACTAGGGTGTAAGGTAACAGGGGCTCAAAGTTTTACATAGGAATATATAAGAAATATCTTTTAAAATCTTATTCTCAAGAACAGCAAAGTAATAATTAGTCATATTTAAACAGGATCATTCTCAGATTGTGTAGAATCAAATTTGTTCAAATCATGACCTCCGTGGATAGGGTAGCACCACAACAGGGGATCAGAGTTGTACATATGAATATATAGGAGGACTTTAAAAATCTCACGAACAGTAAAGCCATGATTAGTCAAATTAAAACAGCATCCTTGGATATGGTAAATTAAAGATTTTTCAAATCATGACTCCTGGGGATACGGTGCGACCATTACAGGGGAACGAAATTATACGTAGGAATATATAGGAAATGCCTTTAAAAATCTTCTTCTCAAGAGCAGCAAAGCCATCATGATTAGTCATATAGTCGTTTATATGGAAGCATCCACAGATAGTGTAAATTTAAGTTTGTTCAAAACATGACCCCCACCCACCCATCCCCGGGATAGGGTGGGGCCATAATATGTGATTTAACAGAAGATTATATAGGAAAAAGAATTTGCTGATGAAGAACAGAATAACCATTAGTTACTCAGGTGAGCGTTGTGGCCCATGTGTCTCTTGTTATAAACTGATAAATAAAAGTGACACTTATATTTCTTACATAATAACTGATAAATAAATATTTTTGATAATTGTTTTGCTTTGATATTGAATTCAAATTTGCTAGTTGATTTTGGTTGTAATCCTGTGATGAAAGAAGGGATCAGTAACCAGTCAAGATGAGTACTTTTGTGGCCTTTTTAGAAAGAAAACATTATTACCAAAACATTATCGAGTAGGGACCTTAATCAATTTGTACATGTATATGTTTGAACACCCAAGTGACGTATGGTATTCAAAGCATATACTGTATGTTTATCACTGGAAAATTTGTCAATCAAACCCAGAAAATCCTCCGAGGTGATCAACAAACAATTAAAAGTAACTCTCTCGTTAGTGATTAACATAAAAGTTACTTTCTCTTAAAATCCTAAGTATGTTTTTAAACATATCAATCAACACCGTTTTAAAGGAGTCTCTTTTTATTGATATATAGATAAATCTGAGGTATTTGATGGTTACCCAGATAGAAAATAAAAATGTCTATCAAGGGCGTATCACATTTCAAAATATATCTTCGTTAAATAAATTGTTTTAAAGTTTTTTACAAAAGAAAATGTGCAAATGTTATCTGTACTAATTATCTAGAATATGGCACATGCCATTGTTCTTTATCTTTTTAAAATTCAGAAGCTGATATATTTTACATCGTTAAGAAACTCAAAGAATGCCGTATCTTTGACTAAAAATCAATTCTGTTTGGAACATGGAAAGTAACGATCATTTATATCCTGAAGATTTCGAATCGTTTCTTTTTTCATTGATCTTGATCCTTTAAACATTTATGTGTATCAGTTTCCGTGTTCTACAGCATTCTGACTTGGATGTCATCCTGTAATATTTTTTTCAGAATGAAGTTTTAAATCCTGTACACCTGTGACTGATTATCTTCATCATCTGACTTCCACACCTGGATCACGCTCTCTTCATCATCTGACATTTCATACCTATCAATCAAACAAAAATCCCTCTAACAATATAGTTACTACCTCATTTTTACACCTACTCAGTGTATTAGTCAATAAACTTTAGAAATACTTCTCTCGTTTTTCTTATCTTTCTTTGTCCTTATCTCGCACTTCTGATTTCATACCATTATTTTGCTTTTTTCCAAATTCGATACCTTATCATGAGTAAAACTGTCTTTTTGTTGCAAATGAATACGAATAAACGTTGAATTCATCAGCACAAATCCCTTAAACCAGTAAAAATTATTTTACAAGTTTCCATCCAATTAGCATTTTTTTTTAGCTACCATCCCTTATAATAAAACTAAGCCTCTGGTATTTGTATTTTCTAAATATAGTAATGGTACAAACCAAGGTCGTGGGTTTCCTTTACTCTCTTCTCCATCCTGTAAATATATCAATACTTTGAATTTAAATATCTTAACAAAGGGAGTTAAATAAAAACAAGCAATGTTCATAAATACAGAAAATTTGAGCTGACTAACCGTGATTGACATTTCATCCCATCTCCGCCTTCTGTTTTCAGGAGTTGGTGAATTAGACTCCATTTCATGCCGTGGTTCAGGATTATATAGCTGTATACCTTGTTTCTTGCTTTTTCTGGAACTTTTGCTATTATCGGGATTTACTTTTTTGACTTGATCCATACAGGACGAGTCTAACCATCTACCGACTCTTTGCCCGCTGGCTGAAATAACTCTTTCCACAAATTCCCCTTTATTGTGTTTTAATTTTTCAATTGACTGTAAATGCTTAGCAAGTCGATGTTCACGTAACATATCATCAGGTAAATCCTCGTTTTCTAAATTTAAACGAATGCTAGTGACAAAATCTTTATCGTCATCTTCCTCCTCCTCCTCATCACGTGACTCCGTGTATCCACTCCGAGACTTGTCATGTGACGCATCCCACCAATCAGATTCCGTGTCACTGGTATCACAAGTTATTGTGCCAAGTCTAGAAGTCCAGTCTGTTTTTTCAGTTCCCATTATACCCGAGGTCACGACTGTAGAGCAAACAGAATCCGTTACACTAGGGCTGTCAAGTACAGGTAAATCCAACTCTTGGTTAACATTTTCTTCAGGAAGATAAGAAAGATGACGCTCTGAATTTCCATTTCCAGTCATTATGCTAGAACTTGAATTAACGTTATGATGGATTTTTTCATTTGCTTCTTCTTTGTGATCATTGTTTTCCTTGCTGTTTTTAAGAAATTGCTCCAGTTTAGGATTTTGATACACTGGCTGAGTAAACTTGTATCTATGGTTTCCGGATCGTGAGGATGCTGTGCTGGTACTTTTTGATACTGGCCGGTTACTGTCCGATAACATTTGTAATAAATTTTGCACCTGAGAGTTGAGGATCAGCTCAATATTTACCTGACTATTTTGACCACAAATTGTAGCAGAGTTTCGAAGTACTGAACTAAAAAATTAACAAAAGTGCATTTGTGTATTGTCTATGAAATTACTCTGAATATTACTAAATGAATTACTTCAAAAGAGTTTTGTCAGAAGCTTACCTAAGGAGTTCTTTTGTGTCAGGTGGCATATTCACAGAGGAGCTGGAAACTGTGTCCTCCTCCTCCGTTCTAAGGACAACTTTCCTGAACTCCAATAAGACCTTCGTCAGTAGATCATTAGTGTTTGCCAGAGGTGAAAAGTCAAACAGATCCTGAAGCTGATCAGCTTCTGCTTTCAGTTTCTCTAATTTAAGTCTAAACAACAGAGAAGAGATATATAGCTTTGTATATACTGTTATTTTCGTAATTGTACCTTTTATTGCATATATTGCCTCAGAGGGGTATCTTTATAACTTACTTGAGCTTTTCGGAACCATTAGGATCATCTACTTTCTGTATCAAACGTTTCATGTCTTTGTACATGTTATCTACTGTCTGTAAAATCGTCTCTTGTGTATCAATCATATTGCGCATAACCTCATTAAACTGTATTTGATACTTTGCCAATTGTTGTTCCAGCTAAAAAGATATACACATGTACAATATACATTAATATCAAAAGGGACATTCACAGAACGAGGCAATTTGGAATTTGCTTTCGATTTGATTATTATAATAGTAAATCACCTTGTCTAGGGTTTCGTGATTTGCCGTTCTTTGGGTTGTAAATCTGCAAAATGAGAAATGTTGCTAAAGTAGAAAATGCATTATCCTTCTGTCCAACATAGTTGTAACCATGAAAGTCATTGCGTTACGGATACACACTCTTTACACATTTTTTGAAAAAAATTTCGATGATTGATTGTCGCTTGGTCAAAGCTAACTTCAATCAAAAAAAAAATTACTCGATTATTTGCAACAGAGTACCAAAAAGGGAGATTTATTGGATTACTGTATGACAGATATTTCCAATACTACGTAAAATGAAAAAGGTTAAAAACACATTAGTATATCATTACGGTTCTTGTTGTTCTCTGATAATAAAACCTATTTCAGTGGTATGTGGGTGCTGAGGTATATACGTTATCGTTGTACCTAACCTTTTATACGTTGGTATGTTTAGAATTTTAATAAGAATGGTTAGAAACATAACGTTATAAACATTTTTGACACATTTTATATCGCAACATTTAATGTACCATTCAACCATCTGCAACGATAATATATGAAAATTGATTAGAGATATCGAACTTAAGATTAAAATTTCATAAGTGGTTTTCTTAATACATGTATTTATTTTAATTCTAAACTTTCAACAAATTTCAAGAATAATGATTAAAAACAGAAATATAGAATATATTTATATATAAAATTTATGTATAGAAAAGAAATTCAGCAAAAAAACTAGAGTGAATGATCTCGTTTATAGCTACAGAGTTGTATATGCTGGAATACACACGGCTTAAATATATGTTCTACAGTTTTAGTTTTCGATTAATCGACTATCGTTCGGCTACAGTCTCCAATTAGCCACGAGATAATATGGAGGATTTATGTTCATAAATATTGTACCTCAGATTTGTAATTTGATGTTTAGTAGCCTCTGTAAGTAGACACTGACACGTCTGATACAACAGGAGATGTTTATACACAGACAGGTGCCCGTTCTTTAGTGCTAGACCAAGTGCACTCTCATTCTGGTCATTCATTGTCCAAACATCAAATCCGTTATCTAGAAGAATCTGCAAACAGGTCATTATAATAAATTATTATAGATAAAAAGAGATGATATCTAGAATACGATGTTTTACAGGTTTTACTTAATATTTCCATATCGTTTTACTTCATACTTTCATTACCTGTAAGCAGTGAAGGTGTCCCTCCTGGGCAGCGAGGTGGGCAGCTGTATTTCCATACTGGTCACATGGTAGATAGGACGGTGGATCCGTCTCAAGGTATGGTATAACTGTCTCCAAAACATCAGTCTACAATACATAATTATGTCATGAAAGTGATGGCTATTCTTCTGATATTTGGATAGAACTGTATTTGTTTCACATTTCCTACCTGTCCATTCTTGGAGCAGAGAGCCAGTAGTTCTCCGATAAGTTCAGGATTTAGGGTCCCATCCATGCTTCGCCTCTCAAGCAGATCACGTACACATTCAGTCTTGCCATGCTACGAGGAAAACAAGCAATCTAAGTATTTTCTTTACAAGTACATCGTATTAACCTTCAAATCAGTTAATGTTGTAAAAATAATTTTAAAATGTACCGTTTCTTGTTTAATTTACTGAATTTTAAATTCTTTATTCCGTTATCTAACTACCTTAACAGCAAACACCATGATGTTGGCATCAAGTAGAGTGGGATCTGTTTCTAGAATGAAGTCCACAACATTAGTTCGGTCGTCAAGTACACAAATTTGTAGAAGTGTCATCCCAGTAACATCCCTAGTAGAAACTGTTTTCCTTAGTGTTGTTTGAGAGCCATCACTTGATATCACTCTCAGTTTCTCGATCTGAGAGAGGAAAAGGTCGTTAGTCGTCATTCAGATCTCTAATAATGAAAATTAAGGCAGTATAAAACGTATTTAATGAATTACTTACAAGTTGCTGGTCATTTAAGCGTAGAAATGCCTTGACATCGACTGAGCGAAGCAAACTCCCATTTGACGTCATCTCCGGTTTTTCGTGTCTCTGTTTCACATTCCAAATATCATTACGGATATTTTCATTCTCCACTTTCGGAACAGGTGGAAGTTTTCGTACATTGAGAGCATTTTGTACATCACTAGAGTTTTGGTTCTCAGTTTGATCAAAATTACTCTCACGAGTTTTCTTGCTTTTATGTTTACTTGCTTTTGAATTGGATGTTGAACAAGTACTTTGAGAAATATTTTGCTCATAAGACTTCGTAATATTTTCACAAGCGTCAATGATGGAATCCGTTATATGTTTGCCCTTCTCCTGTGAGTCGTTCTGTTTAAGCACTTTGTAACCTTCTTTGTTTTTATGTTTCTTTCCAAATAAATTTGAAATACTATTAAGTTTCGATCGCTTGGAGTCACTGGATTTTGAGTCTTCGTCACTGAAAACAGACTCTTCTTGATTTGTTCTGTGTTTCTTTTTCAATTTACTCTGACGACCTTGAGAGTTTGTTTCGGATAGATCAACTGATTCTGTGACCTCTTCTATCGATGGATCCGGAACATCAGCAGAAGCAAAACACTCTGAGATGCTGTCATCGATAGTGAATTCACGGACAAAGTTTTCGAAGTCTTGTCCATTCATCGTTGTTATGTCTGAAGTCGTGTCCTCTTCCTCAATGTCTTGATAACGGTCTCTGATCGTCTGTATTGTCAACATGTCTGGAAAATAATATAGTGCTTTTGAAAGGGCAAGAAGGATGATGTTATGAATTTCTTCTAAGAAAGAAGATGGGTGAACAAGGCGGGCGAAGTGCCTATAGCGCGACAAACATGAAGTGAAAAATAAAATCTCAATTATATAAAAATTTTCTTTGATATTTCATCTAACATTAAAGTATATTTTAAGCTAAATCTCTACAATTTACAAAAATCTCACAAAGACTGAAATTATTTGCCTACGAAATAGCATACACACACTAAAGAGGACAAAAAGGATCATTTTCTCACACTTAAACAAAATTTTTCGATATGAGTGGGTCTTCGCTCCATTTTTTTGAAAGTTGATCCTAAAAGTTTGCATAAAAATATACATTTTTTGGTTTACAAAAACATGGAGCAAAGACCCACTGTACCTTAAAAGTACACTTTTATGACAAAGCATTCGCATCTTTCCGAGAAATACTTGAAGTCCATTAAGTCAAGGGTCATATCACAAACATGATTTAAATGCCACTATTCGTCAGAAGCTGCGTGGCGTAGTGGTTAGCGTGTTAGTCTCAAAACAATATGATAATCCGGATTTTTATTGATTAGGGGTTCGAATCCCACGAATACCATTTTTTTTTAATAAAAGAATAATTTTTTCCGAGATCTTTTTTCTCAGAAAAGTTTTGTTAATCATAATTTCATAAATTTCAATAATGAGAACTTTATTTTAAATACTTAATTCACAAATTGAATATGATTTTATTAATATCTGAAGCTATAGGCATTCTGCACGCCTTGTTCACCCATCTTCTTTCTTCCGGGGACATTTACATGTAAATACACGTGTATTTCAAATGGATGACATGTTTAAAATAGCATGTACACTATTTTTAAAGTATTTCATAAATCGTTTCAAATATTTGTATTGGTGAATATTGTACACTGAACAAAGGTCGTGAAACTGACTAACCGAACATGGCCTCCGGATTATCCTCGGGTGTATAGTATTGGTTCACGTTGACTTCGTTTAGAGATTGCTGAATTAACGTATCCATACTGCTGGTGTCGGCCAAGGAGCTCCGACTGGACATTGACGTGTGCAACAAACTGAAAATCGATGCAATGGTAAACTGATTTTACTTTGTTTCATGTTACCAAACCTTAACAGGTTTAATTGGACAAATTTAATTTAAAATAATAACCTTGTGGATCAAAATTTTAGATTAGGGTTGTTAATGGTTTTTTTTTTTTTTTTTTTTTTTTGGTTTGTTTTTTGTTTGTTTGTTTGTTTGTTTTTGTTTTTGTTTTTGTTTTGTTTGTTTTTTGAATATTTTTGTGGCTAAGGAGATGCGTTAACTTATAAAAAGAAATTATACAATACAGTTACATTATAGTACAGTTACATTTTAGTTTCATTTTTGCCGTCTATCAGAGCCATGAAGTTTTATTCTGTTATCATGTTGTAAATTTTGAATTTACTAGGGGGAGGTAAATGCAAAATTTACAACATGATATAAATTTTGCATTTACCTCCCCCTAGTAAATTCAAAATTTACAACATGATACTGTAGTGAAAGTAGCTTAAACAAGAGACATACAAATGTTAATTATTTTTCTTTATTGTTCCCAACTATCTGATTGACTCACACTAGATCACATGATCGAGTATAAACATTTTATAAACAGGGTGTTTCTATTTCAAGCTTCTAAAAAAGGGCTTATAAACCTGGTGTTACTAAAATTGGAAATGTTACTGAATAGACATGCAACATCAATGTCTTATTTATTCGAATCTGGACTAAATAATATATTTTTGTTTGTATGTTTTAATTCCCCAAACCCTACAATGGCTGTGTTTAGCTATGGTTTTCGTTTGTTTACAATGATTCTTTTTTCTTCAGTTTAGATTGTTTGTATTGGGTGTAGAGAAATGATAAACGATTTCAGATAAGTGTTGTTAATTAAACAACATCTTAGCTATTGCGCTGACATTTAATTAAATTAATTACCTGAAACAAGTTGAATATTTAGAAATGCATTAGATACCTACAAATTTAAATGAAATTAAATAAGGCATTTCTGTTGACATTTTCTCTTCCTCTTTCCTAGTCACTTTTTAATAATACGGTATTCCTTTATGAGACCAAATTTATGTTCAGTAAAACTGGAATTTGCACTTTTTAATATTTCTTTTCAACCTTGCTTTTTATAGAAATCAATACATCCTAAATAAGTCGTACCCTTCTCGGTCTTTTGTACATAAGAAATGCATTAAAACTCTGCACGCAATATATATCAACTTTAGAAAAAGCAATTCATGTGACTTAAAAATAAAACCTTGATCAACAAAATGAATTGATATGTGAGTAAACTTGATAAATTATCAGAGTTTAAATGACTACACTGCCACGTAATTACTCATTCTTTCGATTCGCCGTTTTAAGATTTATATTTTTTTCCTCAAACAGAGTTTGAATTACACTTCTCACATCTTGATAAAAACGGAGATTTAATTGTTCAAACTGGCAGGCTAAGATTAAGAGCTGGTTTAACTGGGGGAATGCGATTGATCCGGAGGTCTCTATTCATCGTTCTACTGAATCACACCAAACTTTTAATGAAGAGGAATCTCTGTCATTTTAAATTAAAAACTCTCTCAAAAACTGGCAGATTAGAGTTCAGATTTGTCAGACAGGGCTTTGGGTCATCTTCTGTCCTTTAAACCCCGAACAAACAAGATAAAAACTATTATTCTTCCATTGGAAATAATTCGCCCACCAATCCTGAAATTCTACACGGGGTTGATGTCAGATAGCAATACAATGTCCTGGTCTTTCATATATGTATTTAGCAAAAATCAAGACTTTCTCTAAATAACTTATTCATTGAAAGAAGGGAATTTAATGATTATCATAAATTGGACTTTAGTTTGTGTACATGCATCCATGAAATAAGTAATAACACATCCATAAAAGTAATAATAAACAAAAAATTCGGGATATATCATGTCTATAGATTGCCAAGATTTATTGGTCTAAAGAAAGTTACTGACTGAGCAAGCGAAAAGTAAGTAAACCACAGGAACCACCATAACACGAGCCTTCAGTGATTCAAGCCCCGGGCAAATACTCTTATCCCAAACGACTGTGTACACAGAATCATTCAATATATTACATATTCAAACGACTCTTTTGTGGACAATGACAAATATTGACTTCAAAGGCATTTCAAATTTGCTACTTTCGGTGTGCTTTGCAAACATACGATCACTTATTTAAACATCAAATTGTTACAGGTATAATGATCTACATTTACTAAAGGTACAAAACTGTTCAATTTCTGAATAAAAATTCTTTTGTGGTAATGAGTATCATACATTTATGAAGTTCTACGGGCTCTTCTACAAAATTAGGAACAAATCACATCAAACAGTTTATCGTCGAATGAACCCTTTAGTCATCTAAAAGACTTATTATCAAAAGTTGTGGACTCGATCACTGGCATTTTGAAAACAATGGTTTGAGTTTTTCGCACCGCCTAATGAAACTATTACCTGATACCAAACACTTACTACAGGGTATCTTCCGAGTCCCATCGCTTCCGGTCCTGATACAAAGGGATGGGGGTATTCCTAGTATCCGAAGCACAGAGGAACTGAAGGACACGAGAGAGTGAGGGGGCACACATCACATTCAAGAAAATTCTACCACACTAACAACTAATCCTTAGATATCTCATACTCCAAGCACAGAAAATAAATATCATTCAGTTCAAATTATATCCTCTTCACGTCGCTCATACACGAGTGATAACAGTTCTGTGCAAACAAGACCCGTGGAACATTGACCAGCGGGACCACCCTCAACATGGGGTAAAGAAGCGAGCAGGGGGATTAAAAGCCAAAGAAAAAAACCTCGGGGAACGTGACGGAAAAGATCCAGTTCCAACACTGTATATCATTTAAATCACGGACAGTCATTTAAATTTTGATTGCTCGGGGATGTTTATTAATTCCTTTTTGTGTGACTGATCTTTAATTATACACGCTAGTTAGTGCTGCACATCAAGCTTTGGGCCTTAATATGCATAAACGTCATTCCGTCCCAAAACGAAGCGAATAATTTATGACCACAAAAATAGGCCAAATGGTTTGCCATTATCGTCTTAGACAAACCCTCTTTTCAGTAAAAGGTAAATCTAATAATTCTGATGTGCATAATATGTATATATAAATGACATGCTGGTTTACTGTATCTAAACTTTTTAACAATTTATTTTTCAGTCGGTCATGGTTCTCGGCACATTGTTCTGTCCTCGTCAGACTGAATGACATACATGTAGTACAACAGTTTAATCATGAGAAAGCTTTCATATAATGTAATACTTCAGCATAATGTTATTTGGTATGCTTAATCTATATTAATTATTTATAATGTCTTTCAAAGAAGATGAACGTCAAAGAAAGTAGATTGAGGAAATCAACCAATTCCTGGTATCTAACAAAATGAATTTGATTTGGACACAGCCTTGTCATTGACGAGCTAAAAATCCTATAGATTATAAAATGAAAACTTAAGATAGCAGATATGCATAAACCTTTAAGCAGGACCTCATATTGTCATCTGAAAGTTAATGTGACAGTTTTATCTTTCATACAAAAAGCAAATTCCACGTACACTGTCTAATTCTGACAGACGATCACACTTATAAATATCCTATGAAGATGCAGTGCCTATGAATTACAAAAGTTATACAGTTCGATTTAACATGCACAACATGGGGCTTTTGCGAAATACAGTAGCGTTTGAATTTCAATTAGATATGGTCAATAATCACTGATGAATTATACATTTTGTGCTTATAGGTAAACACATAATAGCAGCTTTAAGAAATGGATGCCGCAATATGGAATAAAACTGAATAAATAGATAAATAGAATTTTAACAAAGCATCACAGCACACTGTTACGAAATCGTTATCAGCTACCTGAAATTCGAGGAACAGTGACTGATTATGAAGTGAATACATACGGATCTGAGATCGATTTTCGATTATTTAGTGCTACATCCTAGGTCTCTGGGTGGTGTGTGTACAGTATTATTCTCAATCCTCTGCCTGGAACCGAGTTACCTCCAGTATATTAGCTACGCAAGGAAACAATATTCCTTCTGTAAGAAAAATTTGAATGCCTTAACTGCAGCCATTGTAGCAAAGAATATTGTCATTATAACAAGGGCACAATAACGATGGAAGCTTTAACCGTAAATCAGACAAATCGATACCAACAGGTCGTGGCAGGGAGCCATTGTTATCACGGCTAGCATTACATTCTGTGTACATTTATATAAAAAAAAGATTTAATTTAATCATAGAAAATAAAGGAAATTTCTATCTGTTGGAATCTGGGTTTTTGTTGGCGGTCAGTAAGTCTGAGACTAGGCCTTTGTGGGTTACGTTTCTGAGATTTATCTGTTAAAGCTTCACAAGTGCTAATTGTTTACTTAGTACGTTACACTGATATAAAAACAGTCCTTAATCCAATTAAATTCCTAACCGTCAGATTTGCCATTATAAATTGATTTCTAATTCCCTTGCGACTGTAAGTAATAAGAAAAGTAAATAAAAGTTCAAAGGCGAACAATCCCTGCTTTAAGTTTAAGGTGAGAAGTATCTTGAGAAAAATCAGTACTGCTGTTACCGATCACCTGTATTAAAGTCCACAGTCTTACGACTGCTTTTTACTACGTCTCCGTTATCCAAAAGGACGAGTTCTACAATTTCTGACTATCCCTTCGTTATCAAAAAGAAAGGAATATGAACAGTTTCGGATTTATTAATTTTGAGAAAAAAAATAATGAAAGGAAAATCGAAGACCACCACGCATGCTTAAATCGTGCACGTGTATGTATGTATTTATCTTATCAAGATCAACATCTGCCCAAAAAAAGAATACTAAGTCACGAGTTGTATTCTTTACGCTTTAACGTCCATCAGTTAACACATAATAGTCGTAAAATGGCCGTGGACAACCCTCCTTGTCTCCAACCAATTAGTATACGTAGTGCAAGCTTACCTATCTGCGGTCTCTGTTTGCAGGTACTCCGGACTTCACACGGACACTCTAGCTGACTTACTCCTCATGTACACTGCAGGAAGAAGCTGTCTATGATTACTATCTTAATTTTGACATAGCTTTCCGTGTTTCAGCAATAAATAGCTCGACACGGCAGTTTAACCATCTACACACAACTAGCCCAGCAATAAGTAATTGGACGCTTCAATAAGCATCATTTCCCCCATCTTGTCAAATAACGTATTGGCGTCACAGTTCACTAATTTACTGCAGTTTGCTTTCCCATGCAGGTCCAACTCTTGTGTTACAATTTGCTTTTCTTTTCTTTTTCTTTGGGGCAATTTGATATTGAATTCGACGGGGGCCTTGTGACAAAATTGTTCTAATTACACCTTATATTGTTGAGATGGCGCCTTGATAAATTATAATTGATGTCGTTCAACTGTGCAAATAAAGAAAAAGTAATAAAAGTTTTGCGTCAGAATGAAATAGACGCCTGGTTTAAATTTGGGGTTTAATAAGAGGTCTTTAAAAGTGTCAAAATGAATTAAATTTCTGAAACATACCATCTGAGTTATCAATATAAATTGTACACTTATATACGCAGATCGTAGATACGACATGATTTCCGGGGACAAGGGGTCCTGAAAAATATCTTTCGTTCCCAATTTAATTGGTACGTTTCCTACTCAGTGGGGAATATTTTAAATTTCATAGTCTTATCACTTTTTAATGCATATTACAGATTCCACTGCATTAACATGTGAAATAAGAATCGTGGTACAAAAAGCAGGAAACTATCAAGAAAAGCAGCAGGTTGACGGTCCATCTTCTGATTTGTAAGGAATAATTTACAGATAGCCATCTTTATGGGAGGGGGGGATAGAAGTCTCCAGCTTTTTACCATTTTTTTTTTTTGACAAATTCACAATAGACATAAAAAAATTTACCACTAAATAAGAAAACGATATTACCACTTTCTAATAAGTTCTTTAGAAGAAGCAAATCCAATTTTAAAAGAATTTAAATAACAAAACACAAGCAAAACTTATTTGTGAGGGTTATGATTTCTTAAAGACATGTTGAAAATTTAGAATGAATTGACCCTACTTTTTTGTACCAGTTTAATTATTAACAAGAATTGTTTAAACAATCAATTACAGAACTACTTCAGTATCATCTTCAGTTTTGGAAAGAGATTTACAGCATTCTGTGAAGTAATTCTTTTCACTTCCTGTGGAGTCATGCCTTTGATTTTAGCAATATAGTCACAGGATATTTGTATGTTAGAAGGTTCGTTTCGTTCTCCTTTCACAGGACCTAACCCCGGGCAGTCTGTCTCCAAGACCATGTTCTCTATTGGCAATTGCTTCACAAGTTTCATTTGTTCATTTCGCACAATTGATGGTGGGATTGAAAAGAAATATCCTTCTGCTACTCCTTCCATTGCTGTGCTGGGTCGCCCATCAAAAGCATGTAAAAGAACTCTTCTTGCGCCAAATTCTTTCAGAGCAGCTATTGTTGGTTTCCCGGCAGATCGTGAATGCACATTTAAAGGAAGGTTAAATTTATTTGCAAAGTCAACCTGGGCTTTAAGCACACTTTTCTGGGTATCCTTGTGACTAGTCTCTGGTGTAATTCGTGGTTGGAAATCCAAACCAACCTCTCCAATGGCACAGATTTTATCTGCATTCTTTTCTATCTCTGCTACAACCTCATCCAAATCTTCCTGAGTGACACAGCGCTGCTCTCCATTACAATCTCTCTGAACAGGATGAATACCTAAGCATGGTACCAAAATGTCTGAATATTGCTCACATAATCGCAAAACTAAAGAAAAGTCCCTCGGAGTTATGGTACATACTAATGCTGCAACCACCCCGGATTTTCTCGCATTCTCTATCACCATATCGATGTCATGATCGAACATCGAGTCTGCAAGATGGGTGTGACAATCTATAAATCCTTCAAGAAAACTCATAACTTTTTATCCCTGCCCTGTTCACCTTCGACAGTGTAAAAGGTCATCACCGGATATTTCACCAGTGTATTTAAATGCTAAAATTAAGCAGTGAATGTTCCGGTTTGTAGAGCAAATCTGATTTACTATGTAGCAAAGTCTCCTCCATGGTGCATGGTGGAAGTTGTGTTATATATAGCAGAGATTCTGCATAGCAGATCTTCCTACATTTACGTTATCGGTTCTAAGAAGATGCCCAAGGCGTGCAAAATGCCTATAGCTTCAAATGAATAAAAGTCATTCAATTTGTGAATTTAGTATTTAGAGTGAAGTTCTTGTTATTGAAAGGTACATGGATTACGTGAGATCTCATCCCATAACAGACTCGGACTATGAATGACTCGGACTATTACGGAGTCGGCCTACACATACTCGGACTATAAAAGAATACATTATAAGAGTATATATAATTATATAAGTATATATAATTATAATGTATAATGAGGCATTTTTTTTTGTGGAACGGTTATTTTGGGGGTTTCACGATTTTTTTCCTATGGTACACATGATGAATAAGTGTAATAAATATAATTTGTGAAAAAAATGACCAACAAGCCCCGGGGGTTAATATCGGGGGGGGGGGGGGGGGTCCTGTCCACAAGTACCTGGAATATTTATGTTAAATTGGTGCAAATTACAAGAAAATAAATCATTATTGTTCGGATTCAGTTTTAAAATCAAATAATTGCGTCTCTAAAAATTTACAGTTTAGATGTAATGATTACCACTGTACTTACATCAATACTTGGTGTATATTTTAGATAAGAATTGTATCATTAATTTATCTGGGTCTGATTTTTATAAATATCATGGATTTCTATTTTCAGCATTTAAGCAAAATCAATTTTACAAGCTGCGATTTTAGGGGGGGGGGGGCTTTCTTTTTCTCTTTAGTAGAAATATAATCATATTTCCATGACCAGCAACGAGAAATAAAAAAAATGGTCACTCTGTATCAATTTTTATTTTTATATAATGCTTTAATTTTTTTTTAATATATAATTCTGTTCTTAATTCCGTACTGAGTCACATTAAAATTTGAATTAAAGCTGTACTTTTAAATCGGTGCAAACTGTAATAATATCCATTAAAGCAGCAAAAGATTATTCTCAAAAAGCTTTTTCCAAGCACATACTTATTGCTTTAAAAGATATTATTGTTTATACATGGAAATATATGGGAAAAATCTTTTCAGTTTCATCTGAAATAAAAAATCTTATTCCAAATAAGCTGTTATAATTGTGGTGATGTGGTTAAGATTTCGCACTTGTATCATATTCTTATATTCCGAGTGAAGAATTTAATTGTCGCCTGAGAATTATAATGTTCTAATTGGATTTTGAAAATTTTCTGAAAATTGAAGCTTAAGTTGGGGAAAATATATTTTTTACTCATAGCCTATTAGACTTTGAGATAGGGCACAGACCCGTAGGAAGCAATTTCAGTTTGGGGGAGGGGGGGGGGGCACAGCCGTACATTTTCAGTTGAGGGGGCACTATCAACTACCAAAAATTTCTTGACAAGCAAAAAAAAAAAAAAAAGAGAGAGAGAGAGAGAGAGAGAGAAAAGTCATCAGACGTTTTTATTGAGGGGGCACAAGCATATAGTATCTCTGTTTTCATTAGTAATCTATATATAGGCAAAAATATCGGCAATATATCGTGCCCCCCCCCCCCCGGTTCCTACGGCCATGGGGCATAAATACTTAAAATATGCCAACATACAACAAAAATAAATAAATAGATAGATAAATAAATAATGTTTAGTAACTGAGATACACTTATTAAAATAAAATGAATCTGTAGTTTTTGAATTCTCATATTATACTATTATAAATTAACATTCAACATATTTATCAATATTTCTTTATTTTGTAGATTGAATATTCACTTGTATTGGGCTTCTATAAAATACATAAATTGTTGATATACATGTATAGGTGAAGAGGCGCTGCAATCAGCTCAAACTATTTACATTAATTAATAAGTAAAAATAGAAAAAAATTAGTTCTATTGGTTGGATACATATCCATCCATTCGAAATTAATTATTAAAATAACACATCCCTTAGAATAATTATTTTGGGTGTTACTGGGTCTAATAGTGTCAGAGACACTGGCCCATTGTTTGTATGTATCCCCTCTACCTCCTAGATATGGCTTCTGTATGTCACCTGTGTAATCCAAGTAAACCGTGTATGCATAAATTGATAAACAAACACTAAAATATTTCAATTTTTAATTTATTACATATAATAAAAAAGCAGAAGTATCAGTTTTATGCATTTGGTCAAAGGCTTAACAAATATTTCATCCGTAAAAACAAATATAGTTTGGTGAGTGTTAGTGTTAAATGAAAAAAAAATACAAGCGAAAATTTTTTTATTCGTAAAACTTTACCAATTTAATTTATGAATTTTCTTGATAAAATATACAATTTTCTTTTAATTTGCGTTGCTAAGTATTATTACTAAGTACTTTTAAATGCATAGGCCGAGTCTGCAATAGGCCGACCTAGTTATAGTCCGACTCTGTTATAGTCCGACATCTCTAGTACAGGCCCGTAGAACGCGGGGGGGGGGGGGGTTAGGGGGCTCCCCCACTTTTCTGAGTATAGCAATTTGCTATAGTAAATTTTCATTTATATGCAGGTTGCCCCCCCCCCCTCCACTTTTTGTTACTGTAAGGCCGAGCACTGGCAAATTACAGCATTTGAAGAAAAAAAACGTAACAGAAAGTAAGGAAGTAACGGAAAGGTCCTCCCCCTCCTTCCCACGAAATAGGATTTTCGAGTTTTGAGAGTTTAGATTTTTTTTTAGGGGGGTGGAGGTTGCCCCCCCCCCCTACACACACACACTTTGAAACCGTTGCTATGGACCTGAAGGTATAAAATAATTTAAACAATTTTTTGTGCGGAAAATTCTTCCGGTAAAAATCAGTCTGTAATTTATGATTTTTTTTTTTAAAAAGGGGGGTATTCTTGGGGTTCTAACCCAAGCAATAAAATCGTGAGTTTTAATCATTTCCTTGAGACTAGCACACTGTAAATCGGTCTTTGCTGCATGTTTTTGTTAACCGAAAAATGTATATTCTTACGCATACTTTGAGTATAATCTTTCAAAAAATGGAGCAAAGATTCACTCATATTGAAAAATTGTGCTATAGTATGAAGAAATGATCATTTTAGCCCTCTTTGGTGTGTATTTGCTATTTTATGGACAAATAATTTCAATCTTTGTGAGATTGTTGCAAATTGTGAAGATTTTACATAAGGTATACGTTAATGTTAAATGAAATATCAAAGAAAATGTTGACAAGTTGAAATTTAATTTTTCGTTTCTTATTTGTCGCACAATAGGCATTTTGCTCGCTTTGTTCGTCCACCTTCTTTACATGTGCAATCATGAGGTTGTTAACTTCATTGATAAGTTTTTCACTATTCCCTCGCAATGAAGTTGGAGGGGATATGGTAAGCGCTTGTGTGTGTGGAGGGGAGGGGGTGTAGTGATTGAGTGCGTAAGTTACGCAAGTAATAATTTATATCTTTAATAATTTTAACACTCCAGTCAACCAAGGGGAGTTCGATCTACCCTGCCTATACTGGATTCCTAAACTTCATAAAAATCCTTACAAAGATACATTGCCGGGTCCAGCAAATGCTCTACCAAGCCCATATCTTTACTCTTTACAAAAATATTAATTGCTGTAATCGAGAAACTTCAGACGTACTGTGCTACTGCATATTCTAGAAGTGGTGTAAATCAGATGTGGATTCTCAAAAACTCCGAAGAACTTAAAAAAAAAAAATTAAAATCATCATTTTTTTCTAAAGTCAATCACATTAAAACGTACGACTTTTCTACACTTTATACAACCATTCCTCATGATAAATTAAAAACTAGGCTTTTTGATACCATAGACAACTGCTTCTGCAATAAAAATTGAACTGGGAAATTTTCGTATCTTGTGATTGGTCATCAACAAAATTACTCTGTGAAAAAATCACTCTGATTCTACAAACAAGTACTCTGAAGTTGATATTTAAAAGGACGTTGGAGTCCTCATTGACAACATTTATGTAGTTATGCAGGTCCTCCAATAAAATGTTGGAATCGTGATGGGCAGCAATTGTGCTCATTTATTAGCCGATCTGTTTTCATATTCCTATGAAGGAGAATTTATTCAAAAACTTCTAAATGAGAAGAAGAAAACACTTGCTGTGGCCTTCAACTTGACATTCAGATATATCAACGACGTTTTAAAATTAACAATAGTTATTTCCATTTATGTGTCGACTCGATATATCCCAGTAAACTGGTAATAAAAGACATCGCAGAGTTTGTCACATCTGTTTCATATTTGGATGGTTTACTGACTATAGACTTAGTACTAACTAACAACTAAATTGTATAACAAATGAGATGACTTTAGCTTTTTCATCGTCAGCTTTCCTTATTTACGTAGTTATATTCCGCTATCACCTGCAAATGGCGTTTACGTCTCCCAGCTTATTCGATACTCAAGAGCATGCGCTGAGTACGATCAATTTTTAAACCGGCGAAGCAGGCTACAGACAGATAAGATGATATAACAGGGATTTTAACAATTTCGTTTAAAGTTAACATTTCTTAAATTCTATGGCCTTTAAAATGACTGTTAGGAAATATAACCTATCGTTGGGTCGTATTTTGGCTGCCGTGTTTCATTTTATACTAAATTTGACTACGGAATATATGGCTCACGGCGGGTGTTACCAGTCAACAGTTCTGAGATGCTTACTCCTCCTAGGCACCTGATCCCACCTCTGGAATTTTCGGGGGTCCGCGTTTTATGCCCTATTCACAGATTTGTATTGTTTGTAGTTTTTTGTTTTTAATTTTTTTTTTTTTAGATCGATCAGTTCGTTATCTTCACCTTTTTTTATTTGATAGGGATCGATGTGCTCTTTTGCGAGGGAATGTTTCGCTTTGCGGTGTCCTTGTTGTTTTACATTTCCATTTTCATTGAATATTGGATACTTCCAATAGCCAGAATCTGAATGTCATTTGTCAATTGATCTTACATATCTTGCAATTCTTTGTTATGACACATTAATTAAACAAGGTCTAGTGTCTCTTTTGTTTACAAATAAAAGGATGTAAGCATCAATAATTGGAAAAAGCTCATTAGAATTCGATCAAACACAAAAATGGTATGACAAATACGATATGAATAACAATGAATTTAAAACGAAATAATCATAATCCGGTTATGACTTAAATGAGGGGAACATCTATATGGCAAACATTCCAGGGGAGAGGGCTAAAATAGGCTGAGCCTGTTGCCCAGTCCCATTCATTGAATAAAATAGTTTAATTTAAACACACACACACATTCCGGGGGAGGGGTATAGCAAATCTTCCTCGGGCAATTTTTAACTATGATACAAGCAAATGCAATGTACAGCTACAAAATTCGACAAACATTTACTACCAAATGTTATTTTTCAGATTTATGGTTTTGATCTTTGACGTCAGAATAGGAGAGAACAAAAATTACAGCAGAAATCACGAACATATTTTCAAATATTATTTCTACAGATTCATAACACATAAATGTACGTATCTAAGTAAATATTGCATACGGTCCGCTCTAAACACGACAGTAACAACCATATGGAATTGATTTATTTTGGACTCAGTTAAATAAGTTAGAGCTTTTTTTCCCCTTTTCTTCCTTTCTATCTGTTGGTCAACAATTTATTGAGGCCTCGATGCTTTATAGGAAGCTTCGTCACTAACAGGTCTACCCGACATTTCTAGAATCATAAACAATGTGTGACCATGAGCAGAAATACTTGACCAAAGAAATAAATTTTTTTTGTATATAGGAGAAGGTTTCATAGTTGGACATTAAAGCTCGTCTCCAGCAAATTTTACCCGTTATACCCGTTTGGCGTTTTGTCTTACCGTTACGAGTGTAAAGAAATTAGATACAAACTACATGTAAGTCCTTGGATTTTATCCTAAAATGTTGCTTTCATGTGCAATATATGTTCCTTGGAACATCCCCGTTTAAAGTATCTTGTCTTTGTAAGCAAGATTTTGGTTGGTTTGATTCCAAATTAATTCTTATTTAATTTTGACTTTATACAGGTCCAATTACCCATCAATTAAAATTTCTTGGCAACTTATTTACACTTGTAATTTAATATAAGTTTATGAAGTTTCAATCATTGAGTGGGGTAGATTTTTTTCTAATTGTGGGCCTACCTTTACTTTAATTATTAATTTAAAAGATAACAAAACCAATCTCAGTCTGAGACATCAACATATTTTTATTTCAGAATATCTTTCAGCATAGGAAAAAGTTTAATTGCATTTTGTGTTGTAATTCTTCTCACTTCCTCCGGAGATAAACCTTTCACTTTGGCAATGTGGCCACAGGATATTTGTACATTGGAAGGTTCGTTCCGTTCTCCTTTCACAGGACTCAATGCAGGGCTGTCGGTTTCAAGTAAAATCTGCTCCATTGGCAGCTGCTTAATAAGTTTGACTTTCTGTTCACTTCGTACAATAGATGGAGGAACAGAGAAGAAATATCCCTCCTTTATACCTTCCATTGCAATGCTAGGTCGACCATCAAAAGCATGCATGAGAACTTTTCTGGCCCCAAATTCTTTCAGGGCAGCTATTGCTGGTCTTCCAGCAGACCGTGAATGCACATTCAAAGGTAAATTGTATCTATTTGCCAATTCCACTTGAGCTTTAAGCACATTTCTCTGAGCTTCCTTGTGTTCCGGGTTTGGTGTAATTCGAGGTTGAAAATCTAATCCCACCTCACCAATGGCACAAATTTTGTCGGTATGTTTCTCTATCTCGGATATGGCTTCGTCCAGATCTTTTTGACTGACGCATCGTTCGACGCCATCAGAATCTTTCTGTACAGGATGGACCCCTAGACAAGGTAACAATATATATGGAAACTTTTCACAAAGACGTAGTACTACGGGGATATCGGCCGGCGTTTCTGTACAAACAAGAGCAGCGACCACACCAGATTTTCGAGCATTATCCAAGATATATTGGATGTCATTTTCAAACACCGGGTCCGAAAGATGTGTGTGACAATCAATGAAGCCCTCTAATTTGGGGTCCATCTTTATGACTGTCTGAAAACCAGAAATTCAGTGCACAACAGACTGTTCTACTTCAACAGTAAATCAACACTCACAACAAGTGACAGTACCGTGAGTACGCGTAAACATATACCGGAAACAGCTTTGGGGGTGTAAAAGTCAAAAATCCCTTTGAACAGCCCAAAGAATTCCGGTATGTACAGTTCGATTATTATCGGCCGCAGGAGCGGCTGATCTTTTTGTAGTTGTGTTAGAATGTGCACATGGAGAATTGCCTCAATGAAAAAATCTCTATTGATAACAAACCTAAAAGTCATGAATAAAAAATTCACTTATTCTTAAAAACTTTTACAATTTATTAGTTACATTACCTCGACATTCAAAAATGAATATAGTAGGGTAAAAAGTTTATTTACAAACATCAGATATTGATTTAAACGTTAAATGCATAATCTCTAAACCTTAGAAAGTAACACATCCTCCATTCCGACCATTCAATTTCAGCGTGCTAGTCCGCCATGTACAACTATTGCAGCTCGATTTCTACGATGCATTAGGTTTATCAATCTCTTGATTTGAGCGAAATAAATATCCTTAGACATTTTTAAACGCCTGTTTTTCAGATACTGACGTCGAATTTTCTCTAACCTGGCGTAGTGTAGTAACCCTTGGACTTCCGGTCAAAAATCTGTCATTCATACTTATGAAACGCATGAGCCTGAGGAGTCGTTATGTAGTGCATATTTGCATCTGCGGCTCTCCTTTACCTTTATTTTGAGAATTTCCCTCAAGAGCAATGAAAATGCGTGCTTTCAGTCATTTTCAGGAAATATTGGCATCACATCGGGAAAAGAAATAAGGGTTTTTTTCGGAATATTAGTGCAATACTCATGATTAACAGCTACAAACCCTTGAAAACACAAATTGTTGTCAAATGTTTTATTAAACATGCTATGTTTGATTTCTGTAAAAAGGGCTCAAAAATCAACTTCTGGTAATGTAATGAAAATCATGCAACCGTTAAATTACCGATTTGGCAAAGTTGAAGATGTCCTAACTTTTGAGGTACAAAGTTATAACCTGAATATAATTTTCCCCCTAAAATTAGGATGTTGCGTTTCAGTATATAAAAAGCTGACCACTCTTAGATTTATTTACATCTCTGATGAAGCTACAAAGCAGGCGGCACATGCGTTCCTTGGAACACTCTAGTTTATCACAGTCACTTCTTTCTACATTGCCAGTTAGGTCACCCGTCCTCTCACTTTGCACAGACATTTGTTTCAACAGGTTATTTCATATTCCATTACTAAAACTGCTACGCAGTTACTCGGATGTAAATCATACGGTATGTTTATACACATTTAGACATTTTATTGAGTTATTAAGTAGAAGAACAATTTTAGTTTGTTGATGGTAGTCAACCCAGAATACGAAAATCGCTATCAAACAACTTACAATGAGCAAAGTAGCGAAGATGCAGGTCTTTGGTTTATCAGACTGAATAAGATTCAAACCAAACATGGCCTGCCAACAGGCCTAGAAACACTTACTATATATAATAACATCAAGAACAAATCAAAACTTAAAGTAGGAGTGAAACGGTTCACCGCGGTATTTTTTCTCGGTTTGATACACGGTGCAAAATCTCAAATTTTCGGTTCGGTTCATTTTTCGGTCGGGATCGTTATTCAGTCGGGTTTGGCATAAGGTATAACACGTTACTCAGTATAAATAAGTATAGAAAACGTAAATTTTTGATGACTGATAGCTTGTAAAATAATTTTTGACAGTCAAATAATTTTAATCAATTTCTTCTAGTCAATTTGCAAATAAAATTCGTAAAATATGTGACTAGATTTAGAAAAAGAAAGCATAAAACAACGTAGAATTTGTTTCCTTCTATCAAAATGTATCGTATCGAAAATAACCGAACCGAGACAAAATTATACAATACGTATCGAACCGTGAAGGAGGTGTATCGTTTCACCCCTAACTTAAAGTGGAAGTTATACAAGCGGTGACATCGTAATGACACCAAAACTTCATAAAGAGAGAGAGAGGGGGGGGGGGGTTGCACTAGAAAACATCAAATCTGGACAACCCCATTTGGTCTGGAAATCTTCACAACAAAGTCGAATGAAACCGTAGAAGAAGTCATAAAAGTGAAAATAATGACAGACACCTACCAACTGGGTTACCTAAAAGGGAGAACCAAAAAAGAAAGTATAACTGTACATGTATATGTGAATATGAAAAGTCCCTATAGTGCATGAAAGTCTCCCTCCCAAGTGCGGATCCAGTACTTTGGTTAGGGGGACTTTTCAGAAGCAGGGGATCTGGAACCGCCTCAAGGTCAGTAGATCCACGACGAAGCCCTGGTAGGGCATAGGGGGGCGACGGCCCTGAAAGCTCCTGAAATTTAGCTATTTAAGGAGGGATTCTTGTCTGGTTTCTGATTAAATGAAATATTGAAAGTATATTTGCTTATACGTCTTATATATTTAGATGTAAGGGATTTAAAAAATCATATTTTTCTTTCCTCGTCATAATTGTACAACTTTAAATAGAAATGGTAAACTGAGTTTGAAATCTAGCAGGAACTACATTTTTGGCGGAACGGCGGCGTATGAAAATATCTCCTTTTCTGCTTCTCAAAATTACTATAGAACAATGAATTTAGTTAAAAATTTTAAACAATCAAAGACTTAAAGAAAATTTCAAATGTAGGTAAAGAGGGTGTTGCAGAAACTTCTGATTATTCCCTATATCGAGAAGGACATTTAAATACCCACGACGCATGAAGAGTTATCTCTAAATATAGATAATGCTACGTAGATGACTTTATTTATACGGCGAGTATGTCCAGCTTGTTATAACAAAACATTTCACATTTTACGTTTATTTCATGCATAGTTTTTCCTATCTTGTTGATTTATCCGACTATAAATAAAAATTATCCTATCCTATAGACTGGCAACCTGAGAGTAAACTTTTTTTCCCCACATCTATGGTCACTATCGCCATATTGCACGCGAAAAGTTAGAACGATAATGCACAATTAATGGCAAGTGCATCTTGCACATCATTTTGAAAGATGTGCTGTAGACAGCATGCGTTAATATTTTTTAATATGTATATAAAAATGTGTCAAATAATCACGCTGTTGATGCAATATCCAAAAAATTCCACTGAGTCATTTCAATTTAGTTGTTTCAAGTCAAATCTGAGCAACTAATTAACAGAACAATAATGAAACGAAATGAGTATGAAAAAATTAAATTATTTAAAATGATAGTACTTTATTTTTTAAGACATCGCCACTAAATATATGTCTTATTTGATTTAGATCACAATATTAAGGAAAACAATTTAATTCTGCATGCATTTAAAATATTACTCATTAACTTTACGACATCTCCCCCTCTCTTTCTCTCTCAAGAGAGATGTTGCATTGTACTTCCATTATTTAAGAAAAAAAATATGTATATACCAGCCATTCCAGGATTCGAACCCATTCTCAGGTAAAAAGAATCTTCGCAAAGAGTCCACACGCTTTACCACTAGACCAGCTCCGACACTGAAGAATCATGTGCTATTTTATGTGCACATTTTCCATTTCGGATGGATAATAATTTTCATTCGATTTTTGTGATTTTCAAAAATATGCCTCTTTGAAACAAAAATCGGAAATGGCAGTTTTGAAGAAAAATCCTGTCTTTTTTTGCATATGTCAAATTCATTCTGTTTCAAGGAGGCAATTTTTCAGAACATTGGGGATTCCCTATTTGAAAAACAGAAAACTTGACTTATTTTGCTAAGTGGCTAATTTACACTTCATTTAATGGCAAATTGGTAGTCGATATGCAGTTCTAAACATTGTTCTACATTGTGCTGTATATACCGTTGTATCTGAAAAAAATTAAGACCGTTTTCTGTTACTTGAAATTTTTCTTTTAAACTGCTACAACTTTAGGGAAAATAACAGAAGAACTGCAACACCCTCTTAATAATAATGGACTGAAGTTTAAAAATATATCAAATAAATATGATTTTCCAAACAAACTAAAATTTTGTTAGCTTTTAAAAACTTCCAATCTCAGATTTGAGCAAAAAATCCGTAAAAAGTGTTTTTCTCTCTTAGTAAACGGTCAAAACTTTGTGTTTTTGTATCAATTTGTATCTTTATATGACTACTTTACCATATGTGAATAATGAAAATACGAAGCATATAAAAATAACTAAAAATCTAGAAAAATAGACGAAATTCAGATTAGCCAATATCTATTTTAGTAAAATTATTCATGTCAATTTGGTAGTATCATCTAATAGACCCTATATGGTAATATCTTTTTTATGCAAAAAAAAAAAAAAAAAAAAAAATTAATCTTTTGAAATAGAAGTAGGCATCGCAAGATTGGCAACGGTATTTTTTTTATTCTTAAGGTCAAGGAAAACGACAATGACCTTGACCTGACCTTGCTTTTAAAATAAAACGGTCTAATTTAATTTAATTGATACCATCACTTAATGATAATGTCTTAATTCTTGAATCCATGAAAATTTCATTAATTTTTAAATACCAGAAATATGAGAAGAATCCTTCCTTAAGGTGTAAATTTAACCTTATAATGTTTTCATAGTCGTTTTTAATCCTTCGTAACGAAACAAATAAACAATCCCTCGGATACAATACAAATGAAAAGTTATCGCATACAAATAAGAATTTATACCATGCAAATGGAAAATATAGAATACAAGTAAAAAATGTGCAGCTTAAATGATTAGTTAACAATTCAAATGGAAAATTATAGACTACAAATGGAAAATTATATAATACTATATTGATAAAAATTATATAATACAAATGAAAAATTATACAATACAAATGGAAAATTATACAATACAATTTAAAATTATGTTACATTAAAAGTTTAAATCTAAAGTTTAAACTTATCTATAACTATCTTTCATCACAAGTTCACTTGTGTTAATTATACAATATAAATGGAAAACATGCGATACAAATGGAAAAGATCGAATATTTCAACGTTTGACATACCATAATATATTTTCTTTGAAC